TTTTTTTATTTTGTTTCTATTTTTCTATTCGTTCTATTTGTTTATTTGTTCATTTGTTCATTTGTTCTTAACCCTTTTGATGACTATATGAATGTAAGCCTTGGTTTGTACATTCATGTGTTCATGGATATATAGTCTGTCCAGTGCTTTCTGTGCCACTGTGAGTCTGTGCCGTATAATGTATATCGTTTACTGTCTACATATATGAATATATGGCATGTTTGGCAAAGTGCTTTTATAGTATCAAGCACATTGTGCGAATACAGAGCTTTTCGGCTCCTAAGCCTAGTTGCTTGGTTTAGCATTTAGATCAGTTGAAATAAATTACTACTGAACTCGCCAATATACGAGCGTAATTTCAACTCCTGTGTAACTTTTATTGTCCTAAAACCCTAGAAACTGTTCAATTGGTCCATATAACTCTAAACCCTGTTCAATGGCCTTTTACTTCCGTACACAGCGCGAAACCAAAACAGCCGATGGCAAGCGCCGGTTGGCACCAACACCAATGATCATAGAAACACAGAAGACCTACCTACCAACCGCTCCGGACAACATAGCCTTTGGGAGCACTACCAGCGCAAGTACAAGCACACACACCCACACCTACACACCCACAAACACACACACACATACAGAGCCACACAAACGAACACCCGCACCAGCACCCGCCCACACACAGACTGTGGGGAGTGAGGGTGGTAATCCTGCTACTACAGACGTCAACACTGGGGCAATTACACAGAAAACAGAGGACAAACAAGGGTCTACTACAGACAAGCGCACGACTATTGCTGCACAGGACCTACAGCCCAACAAGCGCATGCGCACAGATAGCACGGGCGAAGAGGTGGGCCATGTGTATCGGTGCTTGTATGTGCCATTTGACAGAAAAATCACGTATGTATTTGTGATATATATATATACATATATGTATATATTTGTATATATATATATATGTATATATATGTATATAATTGGATATATATATATATATGTATGTGTGTGTGGGTGGGTGTGTATGTGTGGGTGGGTGGGTGTGTGTATATAATATGTCGGTAAGTATTTATGTATATATGTATGTATATAAGGATGTATGTATGTGTGTTTGTATGCATGAATGTATGTATGTAAGTATGTATGTATGTATGTATGTTTGTATGTATGTTGTATGTACATGTATATGTGTATGTTATA